CACTGTTCTGCTGAAATAAAGCCTGAGTTAAAAATAAAGCAATTCATCCACTTATTTTCTTACATTTCATTATGACTAAAGACGGTCTGAGACTCCCTAGGAAGTCCCGTCACGAAAACGCGTTTACCTTGAAGCCATGAGAAATGGAAAACCTTGATTTATGTTCGTACAGAAACACCCACAGTAAATCTTGCAGACCGTCCGTGATACCATTACCTGCTCATCGACCCAAGCAAACGGAGGTTGGTGGGTGGAGACGCTAAGTAATTGGTCTGCGTAGTTTTATTTTCTGCTTGTAGGTTGTGCTCGGTTATAATTAAACATGTGAGAGACCCAATTATCTAGCTGATGCTCCACAGGTGTTTCTAACTGTAAAAACCCCAACTACTGTGCGTAGACAGTAATTCTATACATAACCCACGACCGTAAGGCCATATATATTTTCGAAAATGCCATCAGATGACCCCTTAGACGTCCTCTAAATGGTAGTGCAGTGATTAGGGTCCTATTGGTTACTGTCGAGCATATAACACTAGAACTAATCCAAGTCTCTATGCATTGCTGAGTGTCCATGACTTAACAGATACCTTGGAAGACAATTGCGTCTTTTCAAGAATCGAATTGGTTTAAACAAATCGAATTCTTACAGCTACGGACGATACCCCTGAAACGGCCACTAACACTACCAAACTCCACGAATTTTATTGTATGCTTTTCAGTTCATGTGCTGCTTACACGTCTCAAATATCCATCACCAACTCATTCAGAGGTCCTGACTGTGCACGAACGTGTTGATCACTGTATGATCTCAAATCCGAACAGAGAACCATATCTTCATCGTTTAAACCTATTTTCCAAAAACTTCAAAGACTTGAATTTACGGCGAATGAAAAGAAATGTCGAATCCGGATCTACTCACTCAACTGTTGTCAGCATACCGTTAACACTCAAAACATTTGCCTCCATGAAAATAAAGTAGATAGCACTCTGGATTACTTGGAGCCGTTTATAATTCGACAATCGGATTTGTCTTTACCGATCGGCTTATATGGAATCGTGTACCTCTAATTAGATCATTAACACACCTACTTCGTGCAAATGCAAGAGACATACAGTTGATCTAAGCTACGTACATTACAGTTTTCACAGTGGAGTAAACCATCGTCGAGTCAACTGCGTTTGCATACCTAGATAGCAAAGAACTTTTTAATATATGCGTCTAAATGATCTTACTCATAGGAGTCTTTTATGAAATGACAGGAGAAATTGATTTTGAGACATTCACAAGACACTTAATTGCCCTATTGTAATGTGTTGTGTTGCACGGCACTTTCAACATTTAGTGACGGACTGAAAACCGAACTAACCTCCCAATTTGCCTTTAGACAAGCACTTTCCTGAGAGTCTTGATGAATATAATGCATCTTGCACTTCACTTTAGAGGTGCAACATATTTCTAGGGCAAACCATGTACTCGCAGGCTCATCATCTTATGTAACATCCTAAGATATCTTTTGGGAAACTAACCTTCCTGAAAATATTCCAGGTTCTAAAGGAGAAATACACCTGTTTTGAGCACGAACTATCATTCACGAAAATGAAATTACGAATCAAAAAGATGACAAGGTGGTAAAAAGAATAATTTGTATAGCATATCTACAGTGAGGGATCGTCCAGTCGTACAGGAACAATAAAAACTGAATTCCTTCAATATGATACACAAAATTTGGGATCCAGGTTTTCGAGTAACCATAAAGCTCATAGACGAACGACTTTGCTATTCCGTTTTAAAAAAGACGCGGTGTTGGCACGCTCCTATGTAGGTGCTTCATAGGATGTTTCACATACCCTGACCAGTGTTTCAACCTTGTTCACTTTGACTTGGTACGATTCTTAACAACGTATACTCATATCTCATTACCTGTATGGACCATCTCACACAACCACCTGGAATAACTCATATCGAGGACATTAGCATTATGGCGGACTGATACAAACATGAAGGTACTTTAACTCAGTTAATTATTCAAAAGGTATAAAAATAATTAGTTAATAGAATACAGGAGTGAATGTTTACATGTCAAAATATATTTCCACAACTATGACATTGTAGGCACAATAATTCTAAGGAATATCGGACGTAGATTCAGAGTATTCATGTGTAACTGACAAGAAATATTTTGTATGGCGTGAGCTAAAGTGTGTCAAACTAGATTGTTAGTTATCATTATTTTGGATATTTAGATATTTGTTCGTGGCGTATGTTCGCGCGTGTTGGTTGTATTAGACAGGCGATAAGAAAGGTTTCTTATTAGTTGGTGAAACTTTTCGATGAGGCTGTTAGCTGACGGATCGTAAGCAGTTGTTGTCATGTTTCACTTACCATCGTAGACCGCATTTCAATCAGCTTATTTCTGAGAATCCATTGGACTTTTATGAACATACTACATAGCGTTAGCATGCAATGGCTGGAAGTTGCTTACTTGGAAGACAACCTGTTACCTGTCGACCTTTCTACTACACTATTGAGCGACATACTTTTCATAAATACTATCCAATCTTCGATGGTTAACAAATACGACGACACTACGCTAAAGTCTGCAAACTTGAAATGATGCGCACGGAAAGAAGGGCAGTTACTTTTTCTCTAAAATTATGACAAAACCATAAAATGACGTAAAGAGAACAAAAAACAAAATAATTTCCGGAAATTCGGTCATTACGTTTACATTGCGGTGCTTTCTGTGAGCTTGATATAGCTGGAACCATAAGTTCTTCAAAATCTAATTGACTGAAGAAGCTGTTATATTACAAAATGACCCAACGAATTAAATGTTCAAACTAGGACATTGCTGTCTGTAATCTTATCTCTTTCCGAGTTTTATTGCTTTCTTGTTTTTTAATAGGCAAATTTTGATCTGTTTTACTCCTACATGATATTTGTTTGTACCTTCTACGCTGCTAGCTGTCAAGGTTAAATAACCACCGTCTATTTGAACACTTCAACTGTTACTGTTAGTCACCACGAAAGTACAGTCTACTGAACTTCTTTCCATCGAGTGTTTCTCGTTATTTGTGTCAAAATGAGTCATTAGACTCATAAACGATTTTGATCGTTCGGCAAACGTACGTTTAAAATTTATTTGAGTGCCTTTTTATTTATCAGTTTATGTAGTAGGTTTGCGATAATCCTTGAGATATATTTTGTTCAAGGTTCAGGCTATTTCCAAGTGTGGCTACTGTTGAGGTTGATAACAAGTCTTCGGGTGAAGTGTTTTATTCTTATGTCACTCGGTCTAAAAAGTGCGTCTCTTGGTGATCTTGATCAACTTAGAAGTACTAAAAATAACTTAAAGTTGTTGAATCTTGATCGTCCTATAAAATACAGGATAAGAACCTTATTATTGGATAATTTGAGGGAAATAGGTTCAGTTTCCTCAGTATTTCTTTTTACCGGTTATTTTGTTAATAAGTTAGTATCGGACAACTAGAAATGCTTAAAAGCATTGTAATGTTTTATTTACTATTGATTAGCCATTAGATAAATATAGTATATATGAGTTATTCTGTATGTGTATTATAAAATTGACTGCCTTTCTTCATCAAGTCATCCAAAGACTCTTAGATGTTACCAAAGCAAACGAAATGCTTTAAAAGCTATGCGTTGCCCTGTGTAGTTGTTCTCAAGTAATGGATTACAGTAACATCTAAAATATTATTCTCCATAACTTGCAATAATGGTGCACTACCGATGGTGTACTACTGACCACTGTTGTGTCCTGTTGGCATTTCTGATTTAGTTTATTTGTCAGGTTTTAGACTATCTTACCAGTTTACTCAAATTAATTTAAGGTCCTAAGTTATCAGTATTGATAAGCTTTTTGTTATAAAGGTAATATTTTTAACCGCATTATGCAGAATTACTGGTTTTATTTTGATTGTATATTTATTAAACACTTGGATTGTTGTAAACTTCTATAATTTTGTTTGATTGATTTTGTTTATGGATCAATCACTGTTGTATTTCTTGTCTTCTCCATGTTTTCACTTAATGAGTGACCTGAGTTTTCTTTCATCTATCAAGTAGTTATGCGAACACTGCAATTTTCTACATTTGTTGATGTGTAGTAACGAAACTGCTCTATTGTACCATGTGGGCTTGAGACACAAGAAACCGTCATACAACAGGACAAACATATTTTAACTGACGTCATCTTTTTATTAAGCACTGCGTTGGAAGGAGCTCAATGCCCGTTAGGCCTTACGATCTCGATTGTTGTTTGTTGGTCTCTGTGTCGGTCCTACATTCATAGAGGGAACTAGGAAATTATAACGATGCACAACACAGATGCTTCATTAATAACGTCCAGAGTCAGTTAAAAAACTGTTCTTTTTGAAGATATGACAACACTAACCTCAAAACCATTGGTTTGTCTGTAAAAATGGGTGGTGACGCCTTAAACAGTTTTGCGAATTCTTTTGCGTAGTATGTATTCTTCTTTTTTGTTGTCGTTAATGGTATGATTTAAAATGAGTTAGCATAAGCAGCAGTGACATGGGCCTGAATTACATGTTAAATGTGACGCTACCATTTCAATAAACACAGGGCCATGCATCACTTTGACCTCACATTGTTTGACTTTAGGTGTTTTGTTTCTGAATCAATCCAGAAATACTAACCACTACAATAAAACACATTGCTTACAGAAATCAATATTAATGTGGAGTTAACCTCGTATAGAGCTTACAGATTGATCTGCATAAACCTTGCATAGACACGCCTAACCTTGCGTAAGTGTTAACCAAAAAGAAAGAAAACCTTGATATTATACTTCAAAAGATCATTCTTCATTATAACCACTTACTTTCAGATGATCCTTTCCGCTATATATTGGAACAGTCAATTGTTAACAACTTTCTGATTTCAAGGAGCATCCACATTTTTCTCCAACTAATAAAGAAAATCATTTCAAACAATCTCCAGAGTTTCTGAAAGCGAAATGATTATCCGGAGACCAAGAATGGTAATTTTTGTTTACTTTCTCAGCTGTTAATTTATTACCCGTATTTTCGCACTTGTGTTCAGGCTTGAGTTTTTCCTTTCTCTACTAGTGCTGTTCACTTGAAGTGTGTCGGGTTAATCTATTATTAGGTTATATCAACCGTGATTACTAAAATTATAGGTGGAAGACTTGAATTATAACTATTTTATTCAAATTATTTACTTTATATTTTAAAAAATAGATGATAGTTTTTGATCAGAGAAAGTTACATCTTTCAGTCGTCAAATTAGTTCTTATATATGATTTGGTCACTACAAAGTTGTGACGTGGGTTTACTTCGAGGAATAAATTGAGTTTTCAATATAAGTGAACCAGGACTATATAATGATGTACTGATAAGCTATAAGTACATTTCTAACCAGCGCGATGTTTATTATAGGTTTTCTATTGTCATTTCATCGAAGAGTCAAAGGCACTATTAAGACCTGTTAAAAATGTCCGTCAGTCTCTATTGTTAATCAAATGTTCCAAACATAATGTCACTATCTCTTAACTTGCTAAAAAGTGTTTCACTTATTTCACAAAGCTGTCTACTCATCAATTTACTCTAGGTCTTCGAAAAGCAATCTCTTATCATATGAAATGAAAGTATTTATTTTGTTAGATTCCTATTGCTGAAAATATTATAATTATCTTTGTTTCGAATTCGATTTTACATCTGTATGTCAAATTTCAAGAGTATAGCTTTCCTGCTGAATATTTTCTGAAATAAGCATAAATAGGTGGCATCTAACAGACTTAAAGCAAAACAGTTAATAATAGAACATTGATGAAATAAAGCTGTAAGTCATCAGGTAAAGCTTTCCTGCCATTCAAAAGTATGAAAAATGAAACGAAAATCTAGGAAAGGTATGTTAGACTTTTATTATAAGGTATTTGTTTGGTTCATCACGTAGACATGTAGATGACGATTTCCAAATATCCTATAATCTTTTAGCCTATAAGTGTGAATCAGTGACTGGTATTTCAACGGTTTTCAACTGAGGGAAAAACAACAATGCTTGTAGGTCACAGATAAACGATTTTCAGGAAATGTTTCAGTGTGAACAATTAAGAGGCTTCATTTTAGAATAAGATAACTGTAAGGTGTTCTTATGATTGTCTAGTCTCAGTTAATGCATAGTGTAAACTATGAAATTTCTAGTAGTCTGACTAATAATTATGTGATCTTACTAAGAGTGAAGTTAACGTTGTTTCGTTTTTAAACATATTAGTTTAAGAGAAGAAATGGAATTATTCTTACCCATAAATGTTGCGAGTATTGAAATGTATGAATAAATTCCCTGTTTGTTGGCAGACATTAACCTTTAAAAAAACTTAGAATATATTTGTACTAACCAACAGTTGGCTGCTGATTTCTACACATTACAGTTAGTGACGAATGTTTCCGTTACTAAAAAATATGATCTATCACTAGACAAAACGCGAAGGGAATTCAGTTCTTATTCTTAGACTATCTAATGTGGTATGGCTACAGCCAGGGATAAAAATTCTTCAAAGTATATACATAACAGCTTCAGAGAGATCGTGATCATTAATGGGCATATAACCTGATCTTTTAAATTTATGATGATTGTGTCTAGTAGCAGAAGACTAAGCAAAGAATACCTTGACTAGCGGTAAATAATTGACAACAGAGTGTTAGTAACCATGAATCAATTTATTTGGGTGAACAACTTTGTTTAGTGACTACATCACACAAATATTTGGGATATTGGCATAGTAATGATAATATGACTCATATTTTCTATATTTTAGTGAATCATAGCTTATTTATCAATTCGGAAATTGGTTTTAAATTTGTTCAATGAACTTAGACTTTGTTATTTGACTAAAGCAAACTTAGTGTGAATACTACATTATTTTAAACGTGACCGTATCAGGACTGTATAAAACTGTATGGACAAAGTGAGTGTCTGGTTAGTTAATCCTACGTTATACAAGTCATCGGTACACAATCGTCAGAAGCGAATGAGTGTTTCTTATCTAAACGATTCAACGAAACGCTAATCAGTGACTGAGTTTCCATGGAGGTATATTCCATGTATTTATTTTGTTATGTTATTGTTGTGCAGAAAACATAAACCTCTAGAAATAGTTGTTTAAAATCTTTCAGTGATTTAGATTTGCACTCTATTTTATTTGTCGATCACAAATTATTGACAAATAAATTTTCATTTATCAACCAAAATGATATTAGAAATCTTGGGTGAAGAAATCACCTCATTATCCAGTAAGCATTTTTATTCAAAATGATCTTTTATTCAACCAATTTCTTCATGTTTTGAATTTTTCCTTACTTCAGATTAAATTTCAAAGATCTATACCTTTGTATATAGTACTCCTTTTATTTGCAATTGCTTTATCTTACTATATTTTAATTGGAGTTTACACTGTAATTGAACCTGATATGAATATTACTAAGAAAACATCACAACAAATTGTATTTATTGGAGGTTATCCAAGAAGTGGTAAGTATACAACTTGGTTTTCCTTTTTCATAAACGCTAATAATAAAACTAATAGTAAAGCTATCAGTTATCGTTGTGGGGTACTTTGTATCGAGAAATTTACTTCAGTATGTGCAACAAATGGTAATATGATACTTGATATGTGAAAACTGGGCGTTGATTATGATAGACGCATGTATAAGAGGTTTTGCTAAACACATTTAATGCCCTGAAACACAGAAATTCATTTGCTGAAATTTTATATTTAAGGAATTATAATACAATGCATAGATTTAGTCCCATTTTTTATAAGATGGTACTTAGTATTTCAGAGAAAATATTCTTTTGGTTTCATAAATATCTCCGTGTTGCTTGGAAATTTCTAATCGTTTATTGACATGCCAATGTTATGTGAGATAACAGTGATCTTTCATTTTGAATTTCACTGCATAGATTAGTTGTTGAATAACGTTTTCTTAGTGTACAAGAATAAAAAGTAACGATAATTTACTTAGTATATTTCCTTCAGAATGTTAGATTCATGTATTTGACGAGAAGCTGTTATTTGCAATAAAGAAGAACATCTATAAGCTTACACTTATTTAGATCCATCTATAACTTTTTCCACCTGGAACGAATTTAATAACTGTTCGAATTCGGAAACTTTTATCTTAGTTGATATTTTGATACATTACTGGGAAATCAGAAAGTTTCCTTTATAAATTTCACCTTATTAACAATATGTTTAAAAGTAAAGTTAAATGAAGTCCTCGTCAGAAACACAAGTGATAGGTTCTTCTCTCATAATATATATAAATTATTTTAATACCAGTGGGACTGACTTTATGAAGTAGAAGACAAAACAATCATTATTGTTATTCACAAATATACGGGAATTCAATTATAATGGAAAGTGTAATCGACTAACGGTGAGTGGAGTTACAGGTAATCTGTTAGGCACTATATTGGCTGATATTTGTATAGGACATCCACAAAATGCCAAACTCAAAGATGCAATAAAGTAACGTCAATATAAGTTGATGGAACTATCACTGTTTACAATAACAAAGACCTTTCTAATCAGTTACTTAAGTGTTTTAATTTGCTTCACCTGAATTCAAAATCCACATCCGATCACTAAATTAAAAGTCAGATGAGTTTTTTAGACAAAATGAGCAAAAAACGAAGATGTCTGAGGTTCATCCTTCATATATGTAAGGCTTCCTGGAAGGGATGATACTCATATTTCTATAGACTTTTTACCTTAATATAAAACAAATCTCTTCAGAATGTTGTATGTGGGGGTAGACAGGTTTTTTATTTAAAAAGTTCACTAGATGGTGAAGTGTAGATTATTTAAAGAATGTCAGTCATGAATAGCTATTATATGGATTTTAAATGTAAACATTTCAAGTCAACAAATGGGATAACAAAACAAGACATGGACCCTAAAAATAATACGTTTGACAAACTTCCCTTCAACATTGCTCTGATTTTTCCCGCTGTCAATTTTATGGTTACATATGAAACAAAAAGCCTACTCATGAATAAACTTGGATAATATACAACCTCTAGTTACTTTCAGATGTACTTAATTATTTACATTATTCGCAAATTGTTTAAAATTTAGTTTCATTTATTTCACATATGACGTCTACAAACATCCATCACCTTTCTCACGAACTTGTATTTATTCACAATAATGACTTCACTGTACCCTAAAATTCTGTTTTTATTGATAATTTATGGTTGTCATAACTAGTGTTGACATTTCAACGTTATTCAAATGTTCAATCTCCACAGCAATATAATCATTCAAGTAATTAGGTTCACCTATACTATGTTCAAATAGTATTATTATCACTACTATTATGATTGCCTCATTATTTCTTTGGCAATTACTATCAATTTTATTATTTTATCCAGTATTTACGTGTCTTCTGTACTCAATGACTTCATATTCTCTCTATTACTGTTATTCTGTTCATCTACGAATATAGACAATAATTGTACCTTTCTTCCCTTGCGAACTAAATGACTTTATAATTGTTATGAACGAAATGAGGTCTGTAAAAGAATTTCATTTATTTATAAAAGTCATTGCTTATGTTGATCATTTCATTTCATCTCTGAATAGCTGTTGTTTGAGATTAACAGAAATCATTTATTCGTTGACTTAGGTCAAGTAATTTTTGATTGCATAATAGTGTCTCCGGAGACCGTATCATGGGAACAAATTAGCAGACAATTCGTATAATCTGACAGTTGTTAATTTTTATGTAAAGAATGCGTACGTTGCCTACAAGTCTTTTTTCATGCCCATAAGCTTTTCTATTTCCTTCATTTAACATTTAATTATGGAAGGTGACATTCAGCAACTATATTTTATGAATTGTTGATTCATTCCCACTTAATTAATTTTATATTTATGTATATGTGGTCATATATATGGTGGGAAGAGTGATTATGACTTAAAATTATTAGAATTAGAGATGTACCGAAAATATTACAAAATTAAATATATTCCAGTTACCCAACAAGAACAAATGAGAAACACTTATTCTTCTCCACTTTGAACAACCAAACACTTAAAGTGCGAATACTTCAGTTTATTGAAGGCATAGCTGTACAAATGTTTGAATCTTTATTGTGTGTTCATAAACAATCGGTACATACATGACACCCACTGGAGATTAGTATGATATATACTGTTATTTTCATGTTTCACTTATATCTACTTTAACCTTCATTTTTTATGAGGATACATTAAAAAATATTAATATGTGATCAGGTTCATTAAAATATGTTGTACCAATATATCACATAGTTCTGATAAACTCCTACTTCTCAATCCACTATCTGCATTCATATTCATTATCAAAGTTTGTATAAAATGAGTAATATGATTACTCAGTAGTTATATTATTTAAAAGTATTTTATTCTCTTCATACAGGCACTACTCTTATGCGTGTCTTGCTAGATGTACATCCAATGATTCGATGCGGTCCTGAAACTAGAGTAATACCCAAAATCCTCAACTTACGAGGTCAATGGGGTAGAGGAAAAGAAAGTGAACGACTTACAGCTGCTGGTCTATATCCCGTTGCAGTCGATTCTGCTGTACGATCATTTATATTATCTTTAATCCAAAATGCTGGAGAAAATGCACTTGTTCTGTGTAATAAAGATCCACTATCATTTATTTACCTTGAATATTTGGCGGAAATATTTCCTGAGGCAAAATTCATCCACATGGTACGTGATGGGCGTGCTGTGATTAATTCACTAGTAAAGTAAGATATCAGTATTCATACCAGTCACTTTCAAAATAACTACATATATCTTACGTCGTTTAACTCACCTGAAATAGTGAGCTCACTTTAGTCAAAATATTATTTTAATTTAGATCGGTCGTATAAAATATTTGAATTTTATTAACAAGTTAGTATAGATTAGATGGAATGTGACTAGCAGTGGAATTTGAGACTTGCTTTCCGTGTTAGTTGGGGCTCGTCATCTGGAAATACCTACCACTTTAATTTTAAATAAGCATGTCGATTGTAAATATTATACATATTGATCATGGCTCTGTGATTTTACTTCCTGACAATAGATATTTTAGAACTGATATGTGGGAAAAAAGTAAATCATAGTGATAACATTGTATTGAAAGGGAACACAAGCGAAGACAACCAAATTATATTCATTGCAACATTGTAGAGTTACTTGGTAAAATAGAAAAACCATACTATAATTCCCAATTTGCAAAATGTTCAATAGTTGTCTCAGACTTTATTGTTCTTGCATTTCCATACCAAATGCTTTCTATTCCTATCCTTTCTTTCTTGATCTTCCCAATCTTCCGCTGTCAGACATTACATTCCTGACTCGCGTTATATACTACTTATGTCAATATAAGTAGCACGCACCACAACATCGGAATTGGAATTTTCAAAAAGCTCTACATGGAAAAAAAAACTGCATACAGTTGTTTGGGTTACATTGTGTACAGATTAAATTATAGTCAATTCCCCAGAAATGATCTGTGGTGACTACCAGTTAAATAATAAGTGAAAATAAAAATGTATGTGCATTTAGCACTTTATTTGTCTGGAAATTTTCTTAGTAGAAAATATTGATCTATGATAAAATTAATGTGGATATAAAACAGTTTTATAAGGCATTTATCAATCTCCTCTCCTCTAACACTGACCAGATTTATAATATTTATCATAATGCAATTACAATAAAAAAAGTGTTTCCACTGCTCTTCCTTGACTGTGAGACACATAGATTGTTTTCATATGCAATTCAACTTACAATTTAACCAATAAATTCTTTAAAACCATTGAATTCTTCGTAAAACAACCAAAATACTACAGTTTCATGTCTTTATCAGACAATCAAAGACCATAGCATACTGTAAAAATGATTTCTGAACTTTGTATTAAATATAAATACATCAGTTTTATCGATATTTCTTTCATTCATTCATTCAAGATTGACAATAAAATAAAATGTAGAATGGATTAGTTGATAAGTGACTTTTCTAGTTAAACATGCTTCGTTTCGCTAATAATATATGGTTGTTTTCTTTTCCATTATTAGTTGAAACACAATATTGTCATACAATCAAACAGTAGCTATTAAAACAAGCTTTGTATATTGAAAACTGACTAAGCAGTCATGTAAAAAGAGATTTATAATTCATAAAATACATTATTTTAATTCAGAATATGTTTTGACTTTATAAATCTTGAATTTAGACTGTCCAATTTTTTTTAGAAGAAAAAGATTATTTTGATTAGACTTATTATTAGCGTGAATAAACATGTATAAATAATGAAATACTTTACATAGTAGTTATTAGTTTCTGTTATAATGATAAAATAGATTGACAGAACAATTAGAATCACAACTAATTGATCACTGGGTGGCGATCAATGTCATGTGCGTCTAGTCCTTATTAGTGCAGATCGAATGCTATCGATCATGTTGCAATGTGGCCACCAGCCTAGGTGACTTGACACTGCGTGCACTATTGTGAGATTAGATGGTGGTTGGAGGTAGTCGACAGGAAACCCTGGACCTGGGTTTCTTGCTACTTGGCACTCGTCAGCAAGGTGTACCTGTAATCTTACAGGAGATCGGTCGCGGCTTGGATAGCTCAGTGGTAACGTCTCTGACTGTGAAGCTGGGTGACACAAGATCGAATCCGCCAGGGAGCACCAGTTCCCTCAAGATTACAGGTACACCTTGCTGACGAGTGCCAAGTAGCACGGAACCTGGGTCCAGGGTTTCCTGTCGACTATCTCCAACCACCATCTAAAGAATAATTGGAATATTCTGAGGCTGTTCCATTCATTTCAATAGTTAAAACAATTACACATCAAAATAGTAAATGACTAAACAAGAGACAAATTATTCAGGTCACAAAATCAATCAATGACCTTTTGTTATCTCATTAACTGTATAGTTCTAGATAAATCTAATTTTAAAATAACATTATCAACTACTCATATTAATTCTAATTATGTTAGAATTGATATTAATAATCTTGAGAACATACCCAGTCACTGGTAGTTTATTGAACTATTGTTCATATTAAGTAGTCTACTGTAGTTAAAGAATGGTTCAAGAGACCATTCATTTAACAATCATTTAAGATAATGTTTAGTAGAAGAAAAGTAACACTTTGATTATTCTGAATGACAATAATACCAAATGTTACTGTCCTACTTACATTCTATTTTCTTTTTTATGTTAGAAATTTGGTAGAATTATATTATTCCTCTTAAAATTTTATTTGCATGTTACTATGCCATTTTGTTTCTCTATAAATAAGATTATAATAACCAATCATAAATTCTACAATCGACTGACGTCATTGTTATGAATAATAAATAATTATGCAATAATCATTATACATAATTCATTAGCAGGTAATGACTACTGTAATAATCAGTAAACGGAAGTTTTTTCAAACTATGTAAATAACATTTAATATAAGTTTACTTTATTTATACATTAGTTTTGATAAAAATCAAATTATGAACCAAATGTAAATGAATAGATTGAATTTTAAATGAAGTCAATCGTCTAATTGAAATCTACTTATTGTACAAAATATTCATATGTTTTAATGAAGATAAAACTCTAAGGAATAAGTTTCGTATTCAACTTGAAAACTGAACAATAAATACTGTCATAAAGATTGAGATAAAATAAGAAATATGATATTGTTGTGTAAAAACTGCTGAGGAGTCTCACAATAGAATGAAACAACCGTCCAGTGATTCAAGGTTTTCCATGGTGGTCTAGCTTCAAATGACTCATGATCTCAACTATTGAGATTAAAAATGATTTGTCTAATGTATACTAATGCATAAATCGATTATACATATAGTTCATTTATAGTGTTAAATGAATTATATACTTTGTATATTTAATCATGGGACGAACTTCAAACAGGTACTTTAACAAAAAGTTATTTTTCTAGTAATTACCTGAGTATTTTGAAATTAAATTTACAAAAAAAACATTACTAGAATGGGAGTTTGTGGAGATTGCAATAATTTTTAATAGATGGATTCTATGCTATACAACCATTACAACCATTGAAAACCTGAAAGAACTGGACGACTATTTCGTCCTAGTATAGAAATACTCAGTAGTGCACATCCACAATCTCTCTTCAAAAGGACTTCAATGCACGACGTTAGGTCTCACACGTAAACGCTTAACCTCTAGACCACTGAACTGACCGGCATTCAATGGTGTTAATGTTTAACTTCATCCAATTTACAAAATTGAGTGACTATCTTCTATTATCTGAGGTAGATACTTGTCTCTACCCGACACAGATTGGACTTCTCTGATCAAGTTTTTAATAGTGTTCTAGCTTAATTCGACCTATGAATTCATCTACTAAAAAAACATTGTTTAAAATGAGTTACAGATGAACGTTTACAGCAACATTCATAGAACATAGTTGTGAAACTGTACAAGCAGCATTATTTATGTTCAATTATATAAGATCTCTTACATAAAGAACAATTCGTTTGTCATTTTTTCTCCTCATATTATTTCAAACAGTATTCGTAAGTTTATTGAAAATTTCATGATAAACCAAAGTATCTAAACGTTACATTATTGATTATTATTTAAATGTATTTTTTCTGGTCAAAGAAGCAAACTGTTATTTAGTTGTTACCCATTTATTTTAAATATATACATATATGGGTAAATATATATATTGAGTCACCACCGTTTTTCCCTTTTATAAATTTAATAATATTCTAAACTCATTTGTCTACAGTTATTGTTTATATCGATCAACAAGTTGATTTATGATTTTCTTTCATAAAATAAAATTTTTTTTGTCATAATTTTACATAGAAATTACAATTAGTTTCATGACGTTGTTGTTGACAAGATCCCCCCCTCTAAATAAAACACAACCAAATCACATAACTGTCTTTATATGAATCAAAGTCAGTAATAACATTGAGTGTCAAATTTTAACATAATGTCAATAATGCTATTTCCAACGTTTAACTATTGATAAGATGATCTAACTGAAAACGATTGTTCACTTATATATGTCGTTCTAATTTTCACAATCGGAATCTTTAATACTGTCATCTACTTAAATATTAGTTTTAATGACTGTCAAAAGTTCTTCACAGTGTAACGTGATAAAAAAAGATAATCTCATGTAATGTATTTCCGAAAAGTTCTTAATGATAAGCTATAACATGTTATATTAATGATATCAAAGTAAAATAGTAAATAAACGATACCACTCAATAAATGTCATAATATATCGAAATTTTAACTACAAAGGTTTTGACTTAAAGGTTTATGTTTGTCATGTTCAACTAAAAGTCCTAAAATGATATAACTATAATGATGCAGTTATTCTTCATGTTTTACTAATATCTTGATTTAATAATTCTATGATTTTTGGTTGAAATCATGAATCGATCGATGTTAGGCAACCAGTGAAAAGCTAGAAGTGGTAGACGGTCGTTTCGTGTTAGTATGGAACTAATCAACAATGCGCATCCACGATTCCGAAGCAAAGGAACTCGTATCCATGAATTTAGGTGTCACACACGAATGCTTAACCTCTAGACCACTGGACTGACCGGCATTCAACGGTATTGATGTCTAACTTCAACCAATCTACGAAATTGCATGGCCATCTTCCACTGTCTGAGGTAGATACCTGCCTCTGCCTGACAAGGATTAACTCCTAACATCGGTCGATTTATGATCTCAATCAAAAACT